ACCTCTCATCTAACTTCTGAATTACCTTGTTAATTACCAAATTACTTTGGTATGTTGTAGAGCCGAAGGTGTATTTTCTAAATTTTTATGTTATAACCCCTGTGAATTCGTATTCATGGCTGCGAATTCATTTTTGTGTACTCTTGTGATAGCAAATCATTACTTTAATAAGACTTTTATTATGATGAGATGATCTTTAAAAATCAGCCAATCATAATAAAGCCTGCTATGCTATATACTAGGGTGATAGCAGTTTAGCTTTATACTAATCTTGTATATGATAGTGTAGTTAGTGTTAAATAATATTAATTTTATATTTTCTACAAGCTAATTAGATAGTTATGGAAAATTTTGATTAATTTTGCAAAACTTTTTTAAATATTTATAATTTTATATGATTTATAATAAAAAAAAATATTTTAAAAAATATTTTTAATATCATTCAAATAATTGATAATATATTTTAATCTAATAAAATATAATATTAAAAAAGCTATATAAGAAATATTTGGTTTTTTTTTATTTTATGATAAGATAGGATCAAGCTTTTATATAAACTTGAATGCAGTCTGACCCTCTAAATGTGCTCTCTAAATGCATACTCTAAATACGCTTACTAAATGCATATTTTATAAAAGCCCCCTAATTGCATATCTTTATTTGGGCCCAATTAATATAATGCTTATAGATTTTTACTTTTCTAAATATATAGATTTTTACCTTTCTAAATGTAATACCTCTCTAAATATATGTTTGATTAAAATTTTGACTGTAATTTATTTTAGTTAAATATTGATTTAAATAAATGTAAATAAAATTAATTAAATATTATAATAAATATAATAATTTTAAACGCAAAATTATATTTTCACAAATTAAAATAATTTATTTTATATAATAATTCTTGATTCTCAAATTTTGTATATATAGTGTATAATTGATAGCTATATAAAATATTTATTATATAAAAGTTTATATTTTTATACATATAAAAATTTGTATATGGTATATATAAATTGTTAAATCATTTTCCTATATTATAAAAATTGAAAAAATGGTTTAGTATAAATATCAATATACTATTTTTTTAAAAGTGTATTTAAAAGTTCATTAGCATCAAATTCAGTATCATTATTACTAATTTCTAATTCATATGGTTCAATAATAACTGAAACATTCATATTTAATGCTTGCCAAAATTCATCGTTATTAAAGTTAAAAGAATTATCAATATTATTTAAAATATTAATTTTTTAAGATTCTTCAAATTCTTCAGATTCATTATCTTTAAATTTATTATCTTCTTCAGATTTATCATCTTCAGATTTGTCATATTCTTTATTTTCAGATTCTTCATTAGATTCTTCAAATTCATTAAATTCTTCAAATTCATTAAATTCTTGATTACCAAATTGACAAATTTGAATAAGATCTTCAATTTGTTTTTCATTATTTGTAATATCAATATTGGCATATTTAAGTTCAGAAGCAACATTATAATATAATATAAATATAACTTGGCCATAGATTCTAATTTACTAATATTTAATCTAAAAATAAATATATTTAAATAAATAAATATATTTTGATATATAAAAACATAATTATAAAAAAAAGATATTTTTATATTCAATTTTAGTACTTTTACATATCATATTATGATTATAAATATAAAAATATCTGTTTTTTATAAATACATATATATTAATATAGTATTATACCTTGATTGTCTTTTATTACAAAACCAACCTAAAACAGAAAAAATCCTTTCACAGCTTATATTATGAGGAGCAAGAGATAAAAATTTAAGAGCAAAATTTTGAATGTAATTTTGATTTATAATAGCACAAGTCTACCAAGTTTTAACTATATGAACTGATTCTACAAATTTTGTATTTTACGGTTTTTCAAATAGTATATATGATTGTATTTGTGTAATTAAAATTTCAGTTGAGCCTCTTCTACCACCTAACTTTTTCCAAAACTTAATAGCTATTTCAAAAATAAATCGTAAACTTTCTTCTTTAATACCAATTGCTATAAATCAAATAATAAATATAATAAATATAAATAAATATTATTTAAAATATAATTTTATAATAAAAAAATAAATATCTCGGTATTTGGGATGAAAAAAATAAGCAATTAAATAAATATCAAAATCAAATTGCTTCCATCATTTATTAAAAAGAGCTAAATAATCATTTTAAAAATCTTGATTAACAAAATCAGATAGATCTTTAATCGTAATTGCTAATTGTAAAAGTTATAAAAAACAATCTACAAGAGTAGTAGTACGATATTTAAGTAATTTGATAGCTTTTTTTATGGGCTCTAAAATTATTTTTAGCTCATCACATTTTTGAAAAAATACTCGATTTTGTAAAATTTTTCGAATTTTATATTTAATTAAATTTGAAGATTCATCTAATATCTAATAATAAATAAATATATAAATAATTATATATTTGTTTAAATTAATAATTAGAGTATATATAGATTTTATTATTTTTTGAAATACTATCTCAAATTTTAATATTAGCTAATTTTAATATCAGCTATAACTATTAGTATAAACCAAACCCAATAGTTTAAGATTTACTATATTTTTACATAATAATATCTATAAGCATTATTTTGAATTTTGATATGAATTAAATTTAATTTAGCCCAAAATTTAAAATTATACATCTGAGCATTATTATGTGAAAATATAGTAATAGATTTTTAAAGATTTTTACTAGCATTATAAATCAGTATATTATTAGCTAAAGCATGAATTATAAGATAAATATATTGTAATATTGATGCAAAAAAACTATTTTTCTTAATTTTGTTTAAAATATTAAAAAGTATTAACTTCTAAACTAAAAATTCTAAATTGTTCTATTTGGGTTTAGTTTATATTGCTAGTTATGATAATATATATAATGTATATACTTACTTTTTTAATTAGAATTTCTAATCTAAGTACCAAATTAACACAATCCCAAGCTGTAGTCCATCGAGTTTTTGTATATAACTTAAGTCCACCATCTTTATACATACCAGTACTAATTTCTTTTTTAAGAAAATCATTTATTTGATGTGATTTTTTAAAATATTTAACAATTTTTTGACACTAATTTATCAAATATTAATTTAGTATATACTGTATATTTATAATTATTTTTTTTTGTGAGTCTTGTAAGTTATATTAAATATTCTATTTTGTCAATTCATAATAATAATATAATTTGTATTTTTAAAGTTATCTTAGCTAATTCAGTTAACTGTTTACTAAATTAACTAGCTTTTAATGAATCTGTATTATTTCATCAACAATTGCTTCACCGACAGCTTATTTAGCCAATATCACACTAGTGAAGTTTTGTAAAAATATAATACTTGTAACTAGTAAATGTTTAACTCTAACCCTATATGATATCGGCTAAATGAGCTGTTGATGAAATGATTGTTGGTAAAAGAATTAGAACCCCTTTTAATTACTTATAACACTACTTATAGGACTCATAAAAATTATAATTAAATCTAATTAAAATAAAATAATAATTTAAAAATACATACCTGGGTAATAATATTTTTAGAATAATCTAATTTCATTATATCAGAAGTAATTAAATTGATATGATGCGTAATGCATCTAAGAGAAAAAATATGTGGATAATTTGTAGTTACAAATTTTTTAGCAAGTACCATATTTGATGCATGGTCAGAAATAATAGCGCCAAATTTTTTTACTCCAATATCCTTCAAAACTTCTTTAATTTTTTCAGCCAAAAATTCACCAGTATGTGAATTAAAAGAAAGATTCATTAAAGAATGAATATATTCTTTTTTACTTGATGTTATTATTACAAAAACATAAAGTGATTGTTCTGAAGGTGTAGTCCATCCATTTATTCCTATAAAACAGTTTATTATTAGAAACTAGTTATTATAATATTATATAGATTTATTATATAAATAATTATTATTGATTATAGTTAATCTAATCACTACTAATTACTAAATAATTAAATATTAGGTTATAGTACAATTTCCTGAAAGCTATTTCTCTGACATATCACTTACCCAATATCACACAGGTAACAATTTGCTAAAAATATATATATACAACTAACAAAATGCTAACCCTAACTCTATGTGATGTTAGATAAATAGTTTTTCAGAAAAGTAAGAATCAACGTAAATATTACAAAAAAAATTTATTATATTAACCTAATGTTAAATCCTTTTCATTTTGTAAATCTTCATCAATACTAACAAGAATATTATCTAGCTCATTATGTAATAAGGTTGTAGATAATTGAGTTCTTTTAGGCAATTTGTAACCAAAACAAAGTAAATTTACAAGATCAATAAAAAATGGATTTTCTACAATCCAAAATAGAATTCCACAACAAACAAAAAATTTGGCAAGTTCTCGATGACAAAGATTTGTTTTAACAAAATTAATTGTTGATGATTCATAATAAGTATTCATTCTTGATTGATTAAAATATTGTTTAACTTTTTTTTAGTCATTTGGTGTACTTGGTAAATAATTTTTTAAACCTTTTATATATTCAGCTTTAACCTAGATTGATACATTTTTGCAATATATTACAATATGATCTTCTAAATCTCTTGCCTTAGCTTGTTTCTATGATTGAGAACAATAATTACATTGTCTACCAGTATGTCCAGATTTAGCTGTACCAACTGTTTTAAAATGTTCCCAAATTGGTTTTTTTTGTCATCCTGCTCGATTTTGTTGTAATCATTTTTTTGCATAATTTTTAACTGCTTTATTTTTATTTAGTTCTTTAGAGTTTTCAACTTGTTCAAGCTCTTCAAGTTTTTCAGATTCACCAAGTTCATCAAATTCATTAAATTCATTATATTCATTAGACTCATCAAATTCATTAGGCTCTTCAAGTTCTTCATTAACTTCAAAATTTTTTAAACTAGAGGTCATTTTACTACGTATTTTGTAAAATAATATTGATGTATTTAAAAGTTAATTAGTATTATATATATATTATAATAAATTAATTTTATAATCACACTTTTTGGTGTAATTAATTATCTAACAGTAGGGTCTATTTGGGAATTTTCGTTACCCATATCCATCTTGCATATAATTTAGCATTTGCGTCATCAGTTTAATAAAAATTATCTAGAACAC